TTATTCTAAATATGGTGGGAAGTCATTTGAAGACTGAGCAAAAGAGTTGAAATGATCAGATTTGTATTCTAATAGGATCCATCTTTAGTGTAGCTGCACCAGGATTTACTCAAGGTAGTTTCTGATTATTTATAATTAATGTTATACAGTATAATTAAATAATTATAAATAATATAATATAATATATAATAAAATATATTAAATATATAATACAAATTAATTATATTATATATATTATATTAATTATTAATATATACAAATTAATTATAATTTATAATCATTTATAATTATAAAGAACATGTGATAACTAGTCTTGTGCATAAATCTTTGTCCTTCTTTTGAATGATTTACTAAAAAAGCAATTGGTGAATTAAAGGGTATACATATTTTTAAAAGCTTCTGATATACATCACTACACTGATTTCCAGAAAGGTTGTTAGCAAATTATACTTGGGGCGGGGGTATGTGGAGAGGGAGAACTATTGGAACTGTTGGATTTGTTAGAAAATACTTGACATCAATTTTTTTTTTTTTTAAATAACGCCTTTTATTTTGAACACACAGAGGAGAAATGGCTGTGGGTCGTTATACACTAACCATTCGTTGCTGTGCGTGAGAGTGATAACATAGTACTAACTCAGTGTTAGCTAAGTAACAGCCTATGTGCTGGCCAGTGTTCCAGAGTATGCAGGGGAGCAGCTATGTTTGTGCAGTGGAAGTCAGGAAACTCTCCTTTGATGGAGGTTGGATGGTGACTGGATGTTGGGAGAACAGGGGGAAGAGAGAGGAGAGGTCAGAGAAGGCATACCCGGGAAGTGGGAAGGGGGTAACGCTGCCTCTGGGGGAGGGGGGCTGTAGGACCACAGCAGCACCCAGACAGTCTGCCCTTCTTTACACAGGAATGAGACAGAGCTGATAGGCAACAGCACAGAAGGGAGCCCTTTGGCAACTGGGGTGATGTCGATGCCCTTCAGGTCAACCAGAGATTTCAGGGTAAATTTCTGTAAAATGGTGGTCAGGAATAATAACAGCTCCAGGTGGGCCAGGCCCTCTCCTAGACAGACTTGTTTTCCTGAAAATAACAGAGGGTAGATACTCCTTGAACACTATGTTTCTGAACTATCACAGAAAGAATACACAGCAATTGTTTGATGGGTGATTGAATAGAGGTATGTACAGTGGAAGACAGGATGGCTGGAAGGATGGATGGATGACACATTTGTTGTCCATCTGATAACTAGCACTATTTATTAAAAAAAACAGGTATTGAATATCAGATCTATGCCAATCGTTTCATTAAGTATTCTCCCATTATAACTGCTCTTTTGACTTTTTAAGTTTCCTTCATTTTGTTTTTTCTAGAAACAGACACACATTCTCGGTTGGAAGGGAAAGGGCTGAGAGATGGAGAGTCTTATATCTATGTTTCCCTTTCTCTGTCTAGCAGAAAGTTTAGCCAAAGATATTTTTCCTCATGCAATTTCAAAAGCAAATGTCATTCCCTCACTTTAAAACTTTAAATGACTCTCAAAAAAAAAAAAAAAGCGGGGGGGACACCTGGGTGGCTCAGTCAGTTAAGCCTTTGACTCTTGATTTCAGCTTAGGTCATGATCTCATGGTCATGGGATTGAGCCCCTCCTCGAGCTCTGTGGGGAGTCTGAGGATTTTTTCTCTCCTTTCCCTCCCCCTCTGCCCTTCTGAGTGTGCTCTTTCTCTCAAATAAATAAACCTTAAAAAAAAAAAAACAACAAACAACCTTTAAATGACTCTCTGTGCCTGTCCTATGTTATAAAGTCCAAATTACATGACCTGGTCCTTATATTATTTTCATAGTCTGATATGCCATAATTTTGCCTCCTCCTTTCTGTGTATGTGTGAAAAATTTTTATTGTAAAATATATACAACAAAAATGTCCATTTTTGCTTTTTGTTTTTTTAAGATTTTATTTATTTAAGGGGCGCCTGGGTGGCTCAGTTGGTTAAGCGACTGCCTTCGGCTCAGGTCATGATCCTGGAGTCCCAGGATCGAGTCCCGCATCGGGCTCCCTGCTCAGCAAGGAGCCTGCTTCTCCCTCTGACCCTCCCCCCTCTCATGCTCTCTCTCTATCTCATTCTCTCTCAAATAAATAAATAAAATCTTTAAAAAAAAAGATTTTATTTATTTAAGAGAGAGACAGAGAGAGCACACAAGCAGGGGGAGAGGCAGAGGGAGAGGGAGAAGCAGGCTCCCCGCTGAGCCAGCTGGAGCCTGATGTGGGGCTCAATCCCAGGGCCTGGAGATCATGACCTGAGCTGAAGGCAGACGCTTAACCATCTGAGGCACCAAGGTGCACCCCAAAATTCCCATTTTAACAATTTTTAAGTTTGTAATTCAGTGGCATTGACAGCATTCACAATGTTGTCCATCTATCACCACTATTTTTTTTACCACTATTAATAAAACATTTTACCACCCCAAAGTGAAATTCAGGAACCATTTACACTATAAGTTCCCATTTCCCTAACCCCTGATAACCAATAATCTACTGCCTGTCTCTATGAATTTGCCTATTATAGATGTTTCAATATAACTGAAATCTTATATTTGTCTTTTGTGTCTGGCTCATTTCACTTAGCATAATATTTTCAAGACTTATCCATGTTGTATGGATCAGCATTTTGTTCCTTTTTTATGGCTGAATAATATCCTGTCATTTGTATATACCCCATTTTGTTTATACATCTATCTGTTGTGGGACACTGGGTTGTTCCCATCTTTGGGCTTTCCTGAATAATGCTACGATGGACATCGGTGTACAAGTGTATGTTTCAGTCCCTGTTTTCAATTCTTTTGTGTATTACCTAGATGCACAAATGCTGGATCATATGGTTGCAATTCTTACAAAGTACTACATACCCCTGAGGAAAAGCCTCTCTTGGAAAGGGGCTATCTTAAAGTATTAAAATCTTACCTAAAATTTGCAACACCACACAATATGTCCAGGCCATTAGGAGAAAAAGAAAGGAAGAGTTGAGAAGAAGTTGAGGTAGAAGTCATACATAAACTGACGTGTCAGAAACGATCAAATTTTGGGAAACTAAATTTATCAACACTATTAAAGGACTCAAATATTTTACGTAGTGATTCAGAATGTTAATTTTGATTATAAAGTATCAAGTTTATTTAATTTTGTATGATTTCATGCTTTGTAATGGGAAACACCATCATGAAGGTATTTTTCAAATTGTGGGTCCTAATCCATTAGTAAGTTATGAAATCAATTTTTTTGCTAGCAGCATTTTAAAAAAGAAAATATAATCACACAGAAAATACAAGAATGCATTATACCTAGTTAAACTAAATATTATTTTCTGAAATTTTTGTTTCAGTTCCATGTGTGTGCCATAAAATATACTTCTTATTGTGGGATGTGACCAGAAAAAAAAAATAGTTTGAAGACACTAATGTGGTGGAAAGAGTCTGAGCTTTGGAATTAGCTAGAACTCAGTTTGAATCTGAGCTCTGGGTGACTTTTGTGAGTTATTTATCTAACTTCTATGGCTCAATCCCCTCATCAAAAAAAAGGAGAGTAATAGTATCTCCTTTGTTTGATGTGTGTGTGTGAGAAGATTAGAGATTACTTAAGTAGAATGCCTAAAATATTGTTAATGATTAACAAATATATAATTACTTCCAAGTCTTCCCCAGAATAATGCACTCCATGTAAAAACACTTCATTCACTTAGAAGGAAGGGGATGTGTATTATTGACGACTACATCTGTTAATACTAGTCTACTTTAAAAACACTAAGTCTTTGTCTCCAGTTTGATCTAGTAAGGAGACTTGAGTTCTTTCCCCTTCCTATTCTCATATTGTATTATGGACTTTTGGTACTTTATTATACATCTGTCAAATTTTCTAATTATTTCATAGTTCAGCTGGTATTACAAACTTTCAAATATCTTCTAGTGCTTAAAACAGTGCTGGGCACATTACAGAGTGCTGGATGAAAATCTATTAAATGTGGCCCATTGCACACCTTTTGCAAAGTAGTCCTTGTATAAGGGGAAGCAGATGTAATCCTGATTCTGCCAGTATTTCTCAATCTACTCCATGCTAAACAGGTCAGTTAGGCACTAAGTCATGTCTCTGGGTAGTACAAGTGGAAGGTGTGAACAGAGAAACCACTTTATCTGAGGACAGTCAAAAATTAGATCCTACTTTCCCCTCCCCACTCCTTTTCCCATCGGGGAGGGGACATTGATAAGACCTGAGGACGAGGGTCCAGAAGCCGGCTGGCGTCCTGAGCTCCAGAGGCTTGCCAGCACGCACGATCTCCCGCACTGAGAGCCCTTCTTCCCAGATGAATTCTCATAGTATCACAGACGCGCGCAGTGTCGATCGATACTGGATGGCAGACGTGCTCCCACCGTCAAGTGTAGGCACAGGGCGGTGGATTTAGCTGCCCTGCCGCTCCGTCGCAGCTTCTCATCAGCTCAATAAGGGCAGAGGACATTAACCCGTTCCCCAGCGGACACCCACCCAGTTGCCTCCTGGGGCGCGCCGCCCGCGGCCCCTTCCTCTCGCCTTCCTCCCTCTCGGCTTCCATCAGAGTCCCTCGCGTCGGGGCCACCGCAGGCTCCCAGCCCGCAAAGAAGGCGCCCATCAGTTGCGTCTCCTCATGGCTCCCTGGACAGCCCCCCACCCTGGAGGCAGCGGAGGCGGTGAGCGCCGAGCTTCCTCACATTCTGGACCTTACCTTTTTGTATCTTCGTCCGCCCGGTGGGCGGCAGGGGGAGGCGGCACGGGCAGCTCCTAAGCCAGCTGCTGGGGCCCAGCCGAGGCCGCTGTGAGGTGGGGTGGGGGCGCGGGCCGCAGCCAGCCTCTCGGACCCCTGTGAGCCCAGCCAGGCGAAAACCCCGCCCCTGGCGCCCGCTGCCACTCCTGATTGGCCGGTCTAGCCTGAAGGCGACCGGTGGTCCCCCGGCCCCGAGTCTCAGCTATAAAGGCAGCCCACGCATGACGGCTGTGGCGAAGCTCAGGTAGCTGCGGTGCTCGCCAGCTCGCAGCCCCCGCGGCGCCCCCTTTACTCTTTGCCCCCTGAGCACTCCCGACTCCACCATGCCGAGGGGCTTCCTGGTAAAGCGAACTAAACGGACAGGCGGCTTGTATCGAGTGCGCCTAGCTGAGCGGGTTTTCCCCCGGCTGGAGCCCCAGGGGGCGCCGCCCTTTCCCGAGGAGGTTTCCAGTGCCCCCCAGCCCGGTGCGGAGCAGGTGGCAACCCCCACCTTGGAGGAGGAGGCGGCGGCCCGGGAACTGTCGGGGTCGTCCTGTCAGGCGGCTAGGGTGAGCCTGGGGGAGGGCGGGCAGGAAGGTGCTGCGGAGTGGAGGGCGGATGGTAGGGAGGGTCCCGGGCCCAGCCCCAGCCCCACGAAGCCGGCGGGCGTGGAGCTGCGCCGGGCATTCCTGGAGCGCTGCCTCAGCTCACCCGTCTCTGCAGAGTCCTTCCCCGGGGGTGCCGCCGCGGTGGCTGCTTTCTCTTGCTCGGCGGCGCCAGCAGCTGCACCGACCTCAGGGGAGCAGTTCCTGCTGCCGCTCCGGGCACCGTTCCCAGAACCAGAGCTCCATCCAGACCCTGCGCCCCTCTCGGCCACCCTGCACGGCCTGAAGCGGGCCGCTGGCAACGAGCGCCGTGCCAAGGCCCCTCCGGGCTGCACGTCTGGACCTGCGGCCGCCGGAGTCAAGAAGCCAAAGGCCATGAGGAAGTTGAGCTTCGCCGATGAAGTGACCACATCCCCTGTCCTGGGCCTGAAGATCAAGGAGGAGGAGCCCGGAGCACCGTCCCGGGGTCTGGGGGGCAGCCGCACGCCACTGGGGGAGTTTATCTGCCAGCTATGCAAGGAGCAGTACGCAGATCCCTTCGCTCTGGCTCAGCACCGCTGCTCCCGCATCGTACGCGTCGAGTACCGCTGCCCGGAGTGCGACAAGGTCTTCAGCTGCCCTGCGAACCTCGCCTCCCATCGCCGCTGGCACAAACCACGTCCCGCAGCGGCAAATGCCGCCACAGTCTCTTCAGCCGACGGGAAGCCGCCTCCTTCGTCTTCCTCCACCTCCCCAGACTCTGGGGCTGTTGCATCTTTCTTGGCGGAGGGGAAGGAGAACAGCCGGGCAGAGCGAGCGGCCGATCAGCACCTGCAGGCGAGGGACAGCTCCAGGGCGGAGCACCAGGACAGCGCCCCACACCAGGGCCTCCAGGTGCTGTCCCACCCCGAGCCACCGCTGCCTCAGGTCCCCTTTACGGAGGGGGTGTTGGGGCGCCGGGTGCCTGGGCCAGGTAGTGCCAGTGGTGTCGGGGGATCCGAGATCTTCATGTGCCCATATTGCCACAAAAAGTTCCGTCGCCAAGCCTATCTGCGCAAGCACCTAGGCACTCATGAGGCAGGCTCTGCTCGTGCGCTTGCCCCGGGCTTTGGCTCCGAACACGGTGCCCCACTCGCCTTCGCTTGCCCCCTGTGCGGGGCGCACTTCCCGTCCGCAGACATCAGGGACAAACACCGGCTGTGGCACGCGGTCCGCGAGGAGCTGCTCCTGCCTGCTCTGGCCGGGGCGCCCCCAGAAGCGCCGAGCCCAGGCGGAGCATCCGACGGGAGTGCTCAGCAAATTTTCTCGTGCAAGCACTGCCCGTCCACTTTTTTTAGCTCCCCGGGGCTGACCCGGCACATAAATAAGTGCCACCCCTCAGAAAGTCGGCAGGTACTGCTGCTGCAGATGCCGTTGCGGCCTGGCTGTTGAGGAAAGAGATGAGGAAGATTGTGCGGTTGGCCTCGGAGGAAACAGATCATGGGAATTTCTGTGGGGATTTCTTGAATTTGCAAGTTTACCCTCTTTCCTGCCTATATTTTCCTCTCCTAAAACTCCCAGTAGTCAATGTTCCGCCAGAGAAGCGGACAGCGAAATGTAAAATCCCTCTCTAGAGCAGGTATGTATTATGGTATAAACATTCGCGGTCAAGGACTGTCACTTTAAAGCCTTCTTGCTTTCCCCACGAAAATAGGATTTCCCCCCTCATTCTGGAGACCCTAACGAATCCTATATGACTTGTAATTCCTATGGAAAGTCGTAGTGAATGCGTGCATGTCTCAATATCTACAAAGGATTCTAGCTACCGAAAGTGGTAGTCGTTTTTTGTTTGTTTGTTTTTCCCCTCTTGCCATCGCAGGCGCCTATGTAGTTTCTGTCTCAATAGGGTCAGATACCTTGCATTGTATATTCTGTGAATTGAAAGTTATGTGATTGGTGCCAAACTTACAAGGGGGGTGGGGAAACACTCAAGACCTATGCCTGTGGGCAGGAAATATAAGAGGATGTTTGCGCTTTGGGGGGATGTGGGGATCTCCCTGTGTACGTTCCTTTTCTCAAGTATTAGTCCATTCTTAAGTGTTTGGAGGTGGGGAGGGTGCTACTTTACTTGGAGTTGAGACACCCCCAAAATTCTCACCTTTAGCTTTTTTGGTGTGTTTTCAGGAAGAGATATTTTAAAACTTTAAATAACAGCTTTTTGGAAACACAACTCATTTCCAGAAGTTTGACTGTTTTAGTAGGGTTTCATCCAAATTGTTTAATCCTTCTGTTGTAAATCTCATGCAGTGTTATATATGAAACTATGTTCAGTTTAAGGAAGATGTTAATACCTATAATCCACTATGAAACTGAATGGGGATTCATTCAATATTCATTTTTCAGCAGCAACCTGTTTTTCAATTTTTGTAAACCATATTCAGTGTACACTCTGTACCCATGCTCTAATAGCCAGAGTTTGGGACACCGGCTGAGTATTGCTTGACAGATAGCCCATACCTGTAAGATGCTTACCACCAAATAAATGTACATAGCTGGTACTTTGTTGTGTTCTGTGTTTGTCCTGAGAATTTCATTGAACACAGCCTATTTTTCAAAGTCACATTTCTTATCTCCCCAAAGCCAGTATCCTACTTTAGAATCTTAGTGACCCATTTAGACAGAATACAGACAGGAAAAATTATATTTTGTAAATGAATGTAGTGATGCAGAAATGCAATGGGAAAATTTCCTTTGATGTATGGCTTGCACAGACAGAGCTCCAAAACGCTTTTTAAATCTAAAGGTACTTTACTGCCTAAAATGTCAATGGAAAATATATATTTTCTTTAAAAAAAGTACTAAACATGAAAAAAATCATGTTAATTGTGCTAATTAAGTACAATATTTCCAAGTTGGTATTTTTACTCAATTTTGTTATAAATCATCAATCCATTGGCTGTTCATTTTTAAAAAATGAAATCACCGTAGAAATGTGTAAGCAGTTACTTTGATTTTCCTTTTTTAATTCTTCACCTTGGTTGTGGGAAACTGTCAATATTGTTTAACCTTCTTCTCAGGGACTCCATTTGCTTATCTTCTACATAAGCTTTCATAGGAATTTTATTTTCTACCGTTTCATAGCAATCTATTTTTATTTTTAACAAAAACTTAAGTGCACAGAAGTCTGGAAGGTTATTTTAGAAACTGTCTGCAAAAAGTTTTTTTCCCCCTGAATGTGTATTATAAGACATACTGAAAATTTAAAAATCAAAGAAGCATGAGGCTAAGATTAATTGATGCTTTAACCAAGTGCACTGGGTAAAGTTTCTGGCCAGCGTTATGAAGGTGTAAGATTGCCTGCATTTTCAGTGACTGTGCTAGAGTCTCTGAGAAGTTGGGGTGTATCCTAAAAGGGAATTCAGATTCCTTTTTCATGATTTGCTAAGATAACCTAGGTTTATGCTTTATATCTCTCCATTAATCATATAGTTCTGCAAATATATTAAAGACAAATAGACAAGAAATATAAAAGACAAATCAACGCTCGTGGACATAAGTGATAAGAATATTTTTATTGTATTATTAAATACCGTATCTTTTTCTTTCACTGTTACAAATTTGTAGATACTACATGAATGATGATACATAATTTATATTTTAGAGTTTGCCCGTATGATGTATTTACACATGCAGTTAGTACTGATGTCATGCTACATTTCCTTAGGAGATGCCCGTTCAAAACAAAATATGAACAAAATGTGAGCAGCTTATTTACTGTAGGAAAATATTTCTGGAGGGTGGAATGAATACCAACCTGCATCAGCAAGTTCAGTATTAATAATATTAGATTTAATTTAGACTCCTGGGTCATGTTCCCTTTTCTTTTAAATTACACATAATTTAAGCAACACATTTCTATCAGAAAAGTTTTTTCTTTCTTTTTTTTTCTTTCTCTCCATCCCCCCAATTACCCTCTTTTTGGTACTCAGGAAAGAACACAGATATACCAGGATCTAGCAGCCAATAATACAGGGCCACAATCTCAAAACAAAAATGGCATTTAACACTGATACCATTTAAAAAGCAAAACATTAGAAAAATATTTGGAAGCTAAACACAAATCAAAGTTCAGCACAGTGATTTTTCTGGTTATGAGATATATCATGGCATCATCTGCACAGCCAAGAAATGAGGCATTGCTTTGGGAAGAAAAAGTTAATGCTAAAATTATGTCAGCTGGAATTTGAGATGCTAAAAGACCATTTATTTTAAGTGTTTTATTTTCATAACATAAATAATCCATACACATCCTGTGTATTAAGATTTGCAACTTTTGCTATAACTTTACAAATGCTTAAATTTAAAAATTTACATTTGTAAAAAAATTATACATTTACTGAGCCATAAAGTTGCAATGGGGCACAATAAATAAAATAATGAGACTATCTGTCCAATTATAGTTTGGTTCAAAGTTAATCATGAAATTAAAAGTGAAACTGCTTAGACATAATTATCCAGGAAGGTAAAGGGTATAGAATAAAACTCCACCCCCCAAAAATATGGCAGCTTAGAGTGTTGGGGGGGGAAAAACAACCAACTGAATAAACAACCCAAATCTAAAATATTAACTTACAAATTATTTAAATCCAGTGTTTTCTAAAATAAATGTTCAGGAAGAAACATGCATGTTATGGCAAACACGAAGGCCTGAAAGGGTTAACACTATGTTCATGCTAAGGTGGTTACTGCTGATCACACTGCTGGGCTGCTTGTCTCCTTAGGATTTATTGGCTGAACCAGAGGATCGACGCAGCTTCATGGACATGCGGCTTTTGCTAGTTCGAGGAGACATTGGAGAGGCCAGGTCAGCCCCGTCTACCTGCGTTGCTGTGGGAGTTTCACTGGATAGAATCTCTGGGTAGGAGCCTGTGGGAAATAGCAAGATAGATAACAAGTCGTCCAGCTTCTCATCCCATAAGAAATAATCTTTCTGTTACTGATCTGTAGTATGGATCCCAACCCTTAATGAAGTCTTTTGAGGGGAAAAAGCAAGACCAAAACTTGCCTGTTAGAACAGCCTACTAACATTTTATTTAAACTCCAGTAATCTGGTGGCTCATGTAATCATATTAGGAAGAAAGTACCAATTATTATTTCCAGAGCCAGAACTAACCAGAGAGCTCCTCGGAAAAAGCAATGGGAAGCAAAATCTTTGGGCCAGACAGGACAGGGATCCAAAGCATCATTAGCATGCAGGGAAAGGCTTAAGAAGCAGGTGAGAAGGACAAATTCCTATCTCTGGGGTACAGGGTATAACCAAGAAAAGAGTCTTCATTGCTCAAACTCGAAAATAATAGTACCAAATGGTTCCAAAAAGGAATTCAATACTATGAGACCATCATACATGATGGGTATTTTAATATGCTTCTAGAAAGGAGCAAGATAAATTCCTGGGAGAAGGAATAGGACAAGAACTCTTATCTGAAATTTAATAAAAAAAAGACAAATTGACCCCTCAAAATGTCTCCATTTAGAAGACACAAGCAATGCTTTTGTTTTTCCTTAACTTAAATTTTTGCAGTTACTCTATCTAGTCACAGCAAGTAGGTAACTAGAATTAAGATATGAAAATTTAGAAGCAAACACAAATTCAAACTGGAAAATTTTGTGTCATTTACAAAATAGTTCTTTACCTCTGCACTTTATTTCAATGAACTATGATTCTCTAATATACAGTAATGCTACAAAACTTGGCACACTGTAGGCTCTCAAATATGTAGCATAAAAAATTACATTAAAAATAAAAGCCCTTAAAAAAAATCTGCTAACTTACGATTTAAAAAATTCTGTGTATTTTAAGGCACTTTAATCCAGATTTTCTGGGCCTTATGTGTGTGAACATTTTCTTTATGTATGTCACATACACACCCATCACACAGGTTGCAGGCTTATTATACATCTCCTCACTCTGCAGGAAAACTTTTGGCATGTTTGTTAGCCAATGTAGCACCTCACAGAAATTTGAAGCATGGAAATAATCATACTAACACTTCCATTTAGTGAGACATTTGTGCCTAAATTGAAGTTATGAATATTGAACAATCAAAACTGTTCAATAAGGGTTACTACAGAGATGTATTATTAAGAATCTATCTTGGTAGAACCCTTCAAAGTGTTTTTACAGTGAAATGCTATAATCATACTTAAGAACAAACCTAATCAAGGAAGAAATATTTTCTCACTACTTAGAATTCAGGTTAATTGCCTTTCTTTTCAAAATAATTTCTCCAACATTCTTTCTTTTCTAACTGAAATGAGGTTGGCCTTCAAAATACAAGGAGAAGGAAATATATTTCTGTTCACCTTTACTCTTCCTGAAGATCTGAATTGGTTCAGACTGGACCCATACTGGAAAACCTAGAGGAGAATATGAATCCATGGCCCTTTTTAGGGAAGCACTGCAGATGGATGGCAGAAGGAAGGTGAAGAGCGGTAGCTCATGCTTTTCTGGTAATGCATATTATTCCCGGCCAATCATGAGAGGCCTTCCCATGACTGTTTACCTTAAGATGGCCAATGTTTTCTAGCGGAGGTTTTGGGAGGAAGAGAACTACCACTGCATTTCTTTCTTTGTTGTGAATGAAGAAATGGAGTAGCGAGCAGAAGTGAGGAAACAAAAGAAAAGACAGATAACAGATATGAGAGACACAGTGCAGAATTGTACAGGTGTTAACCGAGGAGCAGAGAAGAGAGTAATCAAGTTTTTATTATGAAATTGGGCATGCAATGCACTAGGGTGATGGTGTTTCACAATGGACAGTGCTTTGTAAATTCAAATGTTATACTTACCAACTAACAAGTTCAAATAGGAAAAAAAAGAAAAGAAAAAAAGTCTATGAGAGATTCTATAAACATCACTTTTAACGTGTTCATTGTACTGGAGGCAGTTTATCCTAATCACTAAGTCATAAAATCCCCAGAGCTGTACTGTCCAAGACAGTAGGCATAGCCATATTAAAATTAATTAAAAATTAAGTAAAAATAAAAATGTGGGTTCTTGGTGTACTAGCCACATTTCAAGTGTTGAGCAGCCACATGTGGTTAGTGGCAAACCAAAATGGACCGTGCAGATACAGGGCATTTCCATCGTCATAGAAAGTTTTACTGGAGAATATTGCTTTAGAGTATGCCCAAATCAAAGAATATTTTCCTCAAAAACAGCAATTTCTCCATGTCTCCCTTACTGCCTGCAGTGTGAAACCCCCTTCAATGAACGAGAGTCAAATCAGGCTTTTTAGTGTGTGTGGTATATAGCTTATCAGTACCTACTCACGTTTTGGCAAATGATATTTATGGAATATACTCAGCATATTCAAACTCTATAAATACTTTACAGTGGATAGATCTCAATTTTAGATGTAAAGAATACAGTGATACCTACCCTTCATTTCACACCCTATTCTGCCCAAGTATTGATTTCTATCACATGAGTCATAAAGAATGTTGCTTTATTTAATCACTTCTATTATTAATATATCCTCAGGTGGAAAGTATCTAT